TTTGGCCAGGTCGTTATTTATTGCAGGAGAAAAAGGGAACTTAACTTTTACCCATGTTTTTATGACATGCTGGATACTCCACTTAGGCAACTGTCTAAGGGCAAACACTTTAACCCCTTGAGATCTGCTAATCAGGAGCACCAGCTGCTAAGTGCCAGTGTGCATCCTGCATTCATGCCTGCGGGGAGAGAAAGGGTTGCGAAGGATATGACCCTAAACTTCAGAAACTGCTTTTCTCCTTGGGGGCAAAATATCATTCAGCTTGCATCTTCTCTTGTTTTCCTTTAGTTTATCCAGTTAATGTTCCTGATGTGGGTTGTTGTGCACTCACTGTGAATGCTTCAAGCCTTTTGGAAGATGATAGTTAATTACTGAAGTTAAAATCTGGCTTGCACTGCTGTGGAAGTGCTTTCAGAGGTATTTACTCAGTGAGCTCACTGAGCTTCTAAGGGCAGGGGAAGGCTGGTACTATCTGGCTCACAATGAATTACTGCAAATGCATGTTCTGTTTTTTTTAAAAAAAACACATTGCACAGTCATTTTTCACAATACTGCTGGTACACTATTAGATCAGTCTCACACTAACTTACGTTCGTACATTCATTTAAAACAAGCAATGAAATCCATTGTGAAAAAACCTGTCACAAACACAAACCAAATTTATTCCCTGTAGAGTAAAATACAGTCAAAAGGTGAAAACGTAATTCTTTATTGTTTAAATGCTGCTTCTTTTATCCCTCTCTTTAGTTTCTGAAACCAGTAGCACTGTTAAGCAGACAGATATGTATTCATGGGGAGAAAAGATAGAAAATATTACCTTTTTGACATATTTTCTGTTCTCTTTTCCAAATGTCAGTGCTCTCCAGCCTAGTATTTTTAACCCTTCCTCTGGATTATTTCTTGTATGGCAATAAATTGACATCTGCATCTGTTACTGGACTTCATAATTTAGTAGCCTGAGAAAAACACTTCCAATAATGGGATATCCTTGGAATCAGTGGATTGAGTTCTTCCAGCTTTTACTCTAAACCACTGCATCAAATGTAGCTTGTATGAGGGCTTCCCAGATAAGCAGTGTTTAAAATACCTTAGCAGTGTGTGGATGTTTTGTAGCCATCTGAGCAAGAGCATGACTTGACCCCAATGTCCTTAGTTAGCAATATCCCTCTCTCCCAATGTCGTGTAGCATATGCAGTATTTTTTGTCACCTGAAAAGGCTCAAAAGCATAAATAAAGTGTAATTGGTTACTGTAGAATGTTATACCATACTGTACTCTCAGCTTAAAGAGAAAGCCTCAACGTGGCAAAGAAGGTGTTGAATTCGTGTCAGCTTCCAGCAAAATAATTCCAAAGGGAGTTGAACGCTCACACTGCACTTAAACACTGAGCTCCTCTCACCTGTGAAGGCAAGTTGGGTTCAGACCTCCCTTTGTGTCTTGAAAACCTCTTCCTTTGTCTGCCTCTGTCACCGGAAAACTTTCTACAGGCTATTGCACACGTCAGTGAAGTGAGCTGAATTTACATGGTATAACAGCAGTCTAGCCTAAGCTTGAATACAAAAAAAGCCCTTATCACACAATGAGATTTCATAGGGGGACTAGCAATAAATATATTTAAACACATTTGTTTTAGCCACAGTAAGAGAATAGATGCAGAACATGTAGATGCAGAGGAGGAATAGGTTTACTCATGTAGAAGGAAACCAATTCATTCTGGCTTTATCCTATGCTGTTGATTTCATCTCTTTTCCTGTGACTTTTCTTGTTCCAAGATATTTTTCTTCCAAAACAGCATCCTGTCTTTGCAACCCTAAGCTTTGTTGATCAGTCTCTTTAAGTACTTAGGTAGTTCCCATCACCATAACATCCAAGGCATTCGGAGGTGGAAAAAAGGGGGTAGGAAACCACTCCATGTCTCTGCTTTGAATTGTCTCTAACCCCCTGGCATCTCAACAGACACTTGATTTGGGCAAAATCATACTTTTAATTCCTTTTAATTAACTGTGGCTAAGGATGTCAGAAGTGCTTTTGGATGACCTGCTGATCACAATCCATGGGTTGGGGGACACTAATCAGCAAAACCTGACATTTTAGGGACTTTACCGACAAAATACTTCAGAACAAGCTTCCCATTAAGCACACCAGCCCACTAGGACTGTTCTTATGTTCCAGTGCAAGCATATGCTTTGCTGGTTTGCTAAATCAGGATTTTTTAATCAAGTATAGTTCATACTATTAGTCATGTCACTCCCTTAATGATGATAAAAAAGCAAGCATCAGTTCATAGTAACTGCCTGCAATCTGCATCACAGAAACGGACAAATTAACTCTTCCAAAGGTAAGCTCAGAAGCCTGTCTGGCCATTAAGGAGTGTTATTATGCCTGGTCATGAACCTTTTCCCTTTTTGTCCTGAGGCTACAGTAATTTCCAATAAAGATCACCCCTCACTGGTGGAAGGGGGACTTATATGTTCACAGCCATGGGTAAGTCCCTGTAGCACTCGAGCCTGCCAGCTCCAGTGGGAGGATCTCCGGGTTCATCCTTGCAGCACGCACCTCAGAGGACAGCTCAGGACTGTGGTTAACCTCATCCGTGGATGACAGTGTCTTAAATTTTTCTCATATCTTAATTTCTGAGAGTTGCTCTGATGTTGAGCCAAAATGCCACTGGGACATATTATTTCCTGATAATCAGATGAAGCTACAAGTAAGGCTGTAAAGCATGTGCAGTACTCACACAGCTCTGGTCCCATGGATATCTGTGGTGAAACAGGAAAATCCCACCCAACTGCACATTTGTGTGTGAGAGTAAACACAGAAATGAGCTACTGTGTTGCACCAGTGTTAGAGTTTGCAGCGAGAGTACCTTTACTGATGCTTTCCAGATGGATTGCCACTGCAAAACCTGCAACAGATTTAAGGTATAATTATTGTCACTGTTATCAGATTGTACAGCATATGTAAGTATGTATTGCTTTGCTCTGTTGTAAGAAGATTTGGGGATTTTTAATTTTAAAATATAAGTTTTTATTTTTTTTCAAAGCCCATCCCTGTAAATCCCAGTGGTCAGAGAGGGCAGGGAGGGAGGGAGCAAAAGTCATACATACAATACCCCAACCCATGGCAAATAGCAAAACTGTCTGTCAGATAACATTTCTAAGTCGTCACTGTTTTATTTACCGAATGAATTAATTCTGCTTCTGATACAGCTGAAGAACATGTTTTCATTGATATGAAGAACATATTGCAAGTCAATTATTCTTGTAGAGCTGATGTTATTTTAAAATATCTTTTCATATCTTTTATCAAAGATACCAAATGAAATCATTCACTTCTAGTTGCTTTTTCTGAATCTTTCAAAAGGTGGTGCTGAGCCATAAAGCTGAGTTGGGTAAATGAGGAGGTGAATGATGTTTACATTGATATGAACCTTATTACAGTTAGACAAACCCCTAAATTACAAGAGTTGTAGGAAGAGTGATAAGCATTGGGTCCAATTTTAAAAATCCAGTTCTGGGGACTAAACAAGTTTGTTTCCAGATATATACAAATTAGCTATTGCAGCAACAGTGCTCTAGGTGCATGGTCCACAAGCTGACCATGAAGATACCTGTGAATAGTTGGGGATATTCAAATGCCTCCAGAAGGAAGTCCCAGTTGGCACAGGCTGGGCCAGGAGATTCCTGGGGCCAGGCAATGGAAAATGGTTGTCAAATTGCACATCTGAGGGCCACAGTTTTCTTCAGAGCACACCACTGAGTATCCTTTAAAATAAAAGCAGATTGCAGAATTGTAGTCAATCACTGCCCTTGGTAAACCATCTCATGACAAAAGTGAATGTACAGAAGAGGAGAGACCCGAGGTCAGCACCTTTTTAAGCTTCTGAAGCTACGAACCCACATCTGCCCTAGGAGAATGCATGGCCAGCCAGAGCAGCAGGGACTAGTGGAGTGGAGATGGGGTAGAACACTTGGGCTAGTATGACCCTCTGCCCATCTGCCTGATGCTTTAGCACCATGAGATGTTCTTGCAAGATGCAGAAGGGAACAGATGCACGAGAGCCAAATTCTGTAGCTGAACTTTTCAGCTCAAAGGATTTCCAGCCAGGCTTCTACTCTTGGAGCTCATACAGGAAAGACCAAAATCCTTACTTCCCCTCTATCCCTTAAAAAAACATTACCAGATTAGGCACTTAGGGAAAACAAGGAGGGTGGTCTTGAAACATCCTGCAGTAGAGGAAACTGAGGAGAAAATTGGTGTCTCCCTGCCCCCTTCAGTTCTTTAGTCTTTGCATATTATAAGAAAGGGAAGAGGCACGAGGACTTGTTTTGATCTCCATAGATCATGTCCTAAAAGAAAGCAGCTCCATGTGCACAGAGGAGGGGAGCCAGTCCCACAGCAGTTGGGCTGTCTGTGCCTCTTTTCTGTGTCCTGGTGCTGTTGATCATTACGTGGCAGCCACGTCCAGAGTCCCAAAGTATAACCGAAAGAAAGGGCCATAGATTTTCCAGATGAAACAATGATCACACAGAAAGATGGTCTGACAGGTCCTGAACTAGGGAGCCATGGAGAGGTTTTCTGGATCTCAACTGCAAGTGACAAAAGGTCACCTAAAACCTTGTTTTTACAACATAAGTCTTTGTGTGGTTCGGGCCCTTAATTCAGTGCATACTCTTAGAAGTGACAAAGAGACGCTCAGTGGCCTTGCCATGACAGACCCTAAGATTCTGCAAAATATATTCTGCTCTAGGGGCAGAGACATTTTTAAGAATTTGGTTTTCTTCGGCTTCTCTTGAATTAATGTTAGTAAAAGGTGCCCCAACCTCTTATTTTTCTATATGAACACAAAAATTGCAGCTGCCTGCCAAATCTGCTGAGAGATAGATGTAATAATTTTCAATTGGACTGTTAGCCCAAAGGGAACCTGATAGCAAGAGATTGACAGATGCAGCATGGATTATCTTGTGCTCTGAACTCAGCCCAATTTGTGGTTTGTTGCAGGTGCTAAAGAGATTGATATTGCTGCTACCCTGGAGCACTTGAGGGACCAGAGACCAGGCATGGTCCAGACAAAGGTACTGTCAATAAATCCACTGGGATTTTAAATACATTAAAGGTCTTTCATAGTAGTTGTTTTCATGACAGAAGAGAGAGGGTATGACCTAATTTAACGCAGGTCGCTTGCTGATTACTCTGTTTGGCTCCCTACCAACTGAGGTTTATTTATGCTGAAGATTTATCTAGGTTACTTTCTTGGTGTTTACTGTTCTTTCTTTTAACATCTCCAACATCTATCTTGATTACCATATATGAAGGGCAGTCAAGACAACAATCTATAGCCTGCTAAAGAAAATGTGCATTTGAAAGAAGGTTCCTCCTTTCATCCTGAACTATGGATTATTTGCTTAGACTCTCTGTGCTTAACTGTGCATGTAATATTTTTTTTAAAACTTCAACTCATTAAAGAGCATGTAACTGCTGCATTTGATTTTTTTTACTGGGAAAAAAAAAACACAAAAGTTTTGAGTCAAAGGAAACAAAGTTTTGTAGGAAATCAAGTAAATTTTAGAGTCTTTGAATGGAAGAAGCTTACATCATGCCTACAGCCTTGTCCTTTGTGGATGTAACATGGAAACTATGTTTGTACCCTTTGGTGAGGTGAGTGCCATACTCTCTAATTCCTATCAGTTGTAATAGTTTTGACATTTTTCCACAATGTAAAACTTCTAAAGATAGGTGATGGTGTGATTGTAGTCCCTTAAATTAGAAATGAAACTTCCTGTTATTAACAATTCCAGTGTTATATGGAATGGGATTTGCTTCAAGTTAAGAGCTGCAAATATGTCAATAAAGAAACTTGTTCCTGGCATGGAGACCAAATAAATCTGGATATGACATTATAAAATATCAAATGATAGTTATAGTCCTGAACTGAGTAACAATGGGACATCGCTCTGTCTTGGTCAAGCTGGAACTGAGAGGAAATTCTGCAGTATTTAGGGAGATGAAACTGCTGAAGAGCAAAGGTGAAATAAATGTGTTACAGAAATCAACATAACTTTCATAAGTTTTCCTGAATCTCTTCCCAATCATTTTATTTTCCCACTAATATTAGGAGAAATAGTGCTGAAGAACAGCTGAGGGAATGTTAATTATTGTTTGCCAATTAAGTAAGTGCATGAAAAATAAAGATGAGCCAGTCAAAGCTAACTAAGCTTTATCTGCAAGTAAGACAAGAAAATTGCACAAATCGTTCTTCTGCTTTGATTATTCAGAGTGGGAAAAAAATGCAAATAGCACAAAGTATTCAATGTCATATATATTTACTCTGAGTGAAGATGCTAGTCCTGGACCACTCTGTAAATGCCTCCAAAATATATAGCAGCTCTGCAGCAACATAGAGCTCAGATTCCAGTTTTCAGGGCAGAGAAATTATGGTTTGTTGCCTTCAGCAGAAGAAAAAAACATCACTCCAGAAGAATGAGGTTATGTGAACAACTTCTCTTACTTAGCTCAGCAATAGTTACCCTAGTTCCATGAAAATCTCCCTTAAGACATGTTTTTTCCCTCCAAATCTTTGTCTGGAAGAGCTCCAGGAAAAAAAAAAAAAAAAAGTATCCTCTGTTTTCATCCAGGATGAAAAATTTTCTCAGGATATTGCTTATCTCTCCTCTTGCTCCTTCTTCCATCATTGTCATTTTCTCAAAACCACCCAAATCACTTATTCAAGCTAATGTCTTGCAAATTATAAATATCTGGTTATATGCTAGCAATGCATGATCCCCAGAGAATTTTTCTGATGGATTTAAACAAACCCCTGTGCTTTCCCAACTGAATACAAATAAGGAATATTAGACTCTTGGAGTAATTTAAAACGATGGATTAAAAGTCAGGTTAGAAATGCCAATTAGAGAATATCCCCAGGCAAAATAAACACCAACTTCCTTCAGCAGTGTTATTGTGTTTCCAGCAGGCAGCGCTCCACATTTCCAATAGGCATGGGAAAGATTTGTTTGCAGCATTTTGTCTTCTGGAAGGGATCTTTAATTCAAAAGCATTGTATATAATAAATTGTTATAAAATTATCAGAACGACATTCTGCATTTCTGGGAAGCATAATAGAGGGTTTGTGGGTTTGTTTCATTTTTTTTTTTGCAGGGAAATAGAGTTGATATGCTACATGTAAGAGGAGAAAGTAATGAAGGACGAAGTGTATTCTCTGTGATGGGAAAAACATATATTTCCTTTTTCTCCTCTCTTCTTCTATATCCTCGATTCTTTATTGCATCATATATGCTACACGTACCCAGTTTGTTTTCCTGTGAATTTTTATTTTTAGACTTAATGAAACATAGCTTATTATTTTTTATTAAGTATAATCTTGTCACCTCTGCATTCTAGGTGGACTGACACCACAGAATGAGCCTGTCCAACTCAGTTTTCTAGGCAAAACTAGATGTTAAAATTCATGTCCAGACAACCTTGTATATACAAATTGCATATGTGAATGGCAGTGTAGCTGTACAGAAAAACAAACTGAGCTCCTTGAAAAATTACTGGTAGTAATTTGCTCTAACTGTGTTTGTCCTCATGGAAGAGTGTGTAAGGTGTGTAAAGGCTTTTCTTTGGGCAGTGGTGACACACAGCAGTGGAAACTGCACTCTCTGTGTTTTGCCTGTGTGTATTATGCAGAAGGATGGAGGAGGAAGAGCTCAGCCTCACCATCCCAGAAAGGCCACGTCCCCACACATCTCATGTCTGCCCTGTTGTCCCCTTTAGCAGTGTTTCACTGTCAGTTTTGAGCTCTGGCCATGAAGATTACACTTTGTAAGTTGTTTTGCCTCAGCCATTAAGGTCCAACCTGATGTCAGCTGGTAGTCTCCACTGAAGTTGTCTCCAAAATCCGTAGTGAGTTCCTGTTGCTCAGTCCACAGTCCCTGGGCTAGACAGACGCTCTTGCTCAGGCGGTGCAGTGATGCCCTGTGCTCATATCAGGAGGGACCCCTCCTTGAGGGGTCAGCTGGTCTCCAGCCTGACAGATCATCATAATGAGGTGAACACATCCTGGACCAACAAGCTTAAAGGGCACATTTGCTGAGTGAATAACTTTAGAGCAATACAAGTTATTTTCAGCAATGGGATTATAATAAAGTCTTATAGTCCTTGATCTTACAAGATTTTCCTGGCTATGATATACTCATGAAGAGTACCTTAGGTGGCCTCATTACTATGGGGACCTTCCCTCCTTCTGAACTGATTCTCACATCTTGAAAGAGGCCTCTGTTCATTTCTGAAACGTGGCTGCATCACTGTGTCAGCCCCACCATGTTCAGATCACCCTCTTCTGTTGTCCTCCCCATCTTCCAGGGACTGGCAGGGTGGGGGCCAGCTCTCCCACTCAGATCTGAGTGCCAGCATTCCAGGACCACCTGCTTTGTTGCTCTCCTGCCAACCCCACCAAAAGGGTCTCCTACTCTGCCCAGGCTGCTCCACAGGTCTCTCATCTCACAGGGCTGCATCAGTGGGGTCCAGTGGCTCCTACCTCCTCCTGCCAAAGTTCTCTCCACCTGATGCACTTCTCATGCATCAGCCTTGATGTCCTGAAGCTTTTTGAGCTGGTACCAGCTCCCAGTTTGCTTCTGGCACAGCATGACCACTGGCATGCCTTCTCTGCCCCTGCTACCCTGCAGCTCCTCTCACACATTCAGTGTGCTCCGCTTAAAGTGCAACTGATGCTCCTGCATGGCCACCAGCATTCCCAGTCTTTTCTTTAGTTGCAGAGACCTTAGGCCATGCAGGGAGCAATAGGCAATCATATACACCATTTTCAGGGCTAGTGAGCATGAGTCCTACTCTTTAGGGTGAATTGATGTCTGATTAAAAACTGTTGGCTGCAGTCCAGCAAATGTACATGGATGCCACACTTTGACAGCACCAAGCACAAAGCAAAGTTCTCAAATGTCATCAGCGCTGAGAAATTATTCTGAGTGTTTATTTGTTTTTCTGCTCTGGCACTGTGCCCATCATTGCTTCTCTGAAGTGTCTTCACATGGGAGATGGTTCTGCATAGAGGTAAGACAAGGCAGAGGAGGCTGGCATTGGATTGCAGGAATTAGAAGCCAGCTGCCTTTCTGAGCTGTGAGTTGCACACCTGTAGATTGTTCTGTCATCTTTCCTGCAGATTTCTGCAGGAAAGTGAAACATCATGGAAAATGAACGCTATTAGTCTAGTAATCACTTTTGGGAGCTGGCTGTGTTCTGCAGCCATGCCACACAGCCCCTGGCAGCACAAACTGAGAGGCTGGAAGTACCAGGCCACCAGTTTTCTAATGGGAGGCACAAATAGTATCCCAGCAGTCATCCTGGGATGTTTTGTAAGGTGTATCTCAGACCTCCATTCTCAAAGTTGATTCTTCAGCAGCTTGACTCCAGGTGTCTTAGAACTCTGGAGTACTTTTGGAAAATCAGAAATGTCTCCACAGTCCTTGTCTGGTGTCTTTGATTTGCCTATCATTTGAATAAACTCCTCACTTAAAAGTTGCAAACTCCAAATCATCCAGTCAGATATGAAAAATTTCTTGCTTGAAAAATATAACACCTGATAGCCTTGAGGATTTAACACTTCTTTGTCCTTCCATAGGACTACACAGTTCAAGAGCAAGTTTGGTTTGCACTTTTAGAAGAAGTAGCCATTTGTGGCTGTGACCTTCACACCTCTGCCAACCCAGGACAGAAGCCTGTTAATCATGTTGGTACTGTGGTTACAGTAAATTAGTAACAGCAAAAAAGCCTTCCCAAGCATTTCTTATATAGGAGTGGTCTAAACATGGTTGAGTAATTTGTGGGTGTGGAGAGACCATTAAAAAGAGAGACTTAAAAATGTCAGTGACAGGTAAGCCAAGAAGTAGATATTGTTCTATATAATGGATATAAAGTGAAGAGATATTTATTCTAGACTGTTTCAACTAGAAAGAGTCCTAGGAAAAGCCAAAAGCTCTGCTTTGCATCATCTCACTTATTGCAGATCTCAATTATATTAATGAGTTCCTATTTCTGTGTCAGAAGGAAATGACTGGTGATCAGCTACTCCCAAACCCTTCTGACCATGCAATGGCAATACATCATTGTGTCCCAATAGGTTATGTTCTGCTGCTAACATTTCTCTCCATTAAAATTACTCCAGCTTCAAGATGCTGTCAAACATGTTATATGACATCAATAATCCCAGAACATTTTGTTCTTTTCCATTGCAGTGTACAGTTCATCCTGCATATTCATATTTTTAACAATGTCTTGAGGATGTTCAGCTGTGGAATAGTGCACCAGGCTTTTGGGAAGTGATTTGTTTTATTAATCAGAGTTTGTGTTTGTTCTCTCTGCAGGAGCAGTTTGAGTTTGCTCTGACAGCAGTTGCAGAAGAAGTGAATGCAATACTCAAGGCCCTTCCCCAGTGAGCAGCTCAGTTTCCTGAAGACTCCTGCAGAATCCGTCCCTCGTTTTCCTCATCCTCGGTCCCTGTGAATGTTCTTGGAAACCGTGACCTGACCTTAACTGTGTATCTTCTGTTGTAACCACATAGTGATAGGGTCCTTACAAACTCCTTTAGCTGGTAAAAGTTCAACAGTTAAAATGTGTACTCTGTTTTTTGGGGTTTTAAACAAATTTTTAAAAGTACATCAGAGCCTCGGATTAAGTGACAGAACAATCCATCTACTTCCTTTCACATCCTTGAAGCCCTGAATGTCACACTTTGAAAGCACACATTCATGTTCTTAATAGCAAATATACAATATTGTGGGTAATTAGTGCAGTCAATATAGTCTCAGAAAACAGTGTTCTGTTATATTTTGTAACTTCTCAAAGGCTGAATAAGAAGGAGGGCCTGAAGAGGATGGTGATTGTTCCCATACAATGCCAAGCTGGAGCATGAAACAGTGCTGAGGGTGTGAGTAAACACAGGTCCAGGCTCTGGCAAGGAAAGCTTGCACCTTCTCATGCCAGGCTTTGGCAAGCAAATGTTTTCTTAACTGTTGTTTACTTTTCAGCTTTGTGCCATGAGAGGAAGAAATTCTGAACTATAAGTAAAACAGGCTTGCACAGTTATTGCAACTGGGGAGGTCATGTTGGTCACATTAATGGGAAGCTGGGGGATAACGAGCACAACAGCTCTGACCATGTACCTGCCACTGACAGCACAGAAAAGAGAGCGTAGACTCCCCTCAGGTGATGAGAAAGGCCCTGTCAGCAATCAGGTAACTGTCTGGAGCTGTTATGGAAACAGATTGTTGGTTTTATGGGATTACTGAGGAAGAAAATGGGACTCTTTATATTTTTGCATTTCCCTCTGTAAAGCTCTGCTGGGCCACCCTTTTTAGCCAGGAAAATATATTTCTGTGAAAGCCTGGCTGAAGGAGAAATCTCCAGTCTGCATTTTGTGATTCTCATCGAGTTTGTCTGATCCAGAAGTTCATTGCAGCTTTCTGCAGAGACTCCGCTTGCTCCTTGTTCTGAATGATACCTATTTTAGCTAAGCATGAAGGGGTAAAGCAACACACAGGTTGAATTTCAGAGATTCTTGTGTTCTCAAAATCCTAATGCCTACTGTTGCAAAGTAATGCTAAAGTATGTCTGTAATTGGTTTGACTTATGGAATCTTGCTTCTGTGAATTCACAGGTTTAGTTGTGGCACTCTTCTGAAGGAATTTAAATTATTGATAGAAAGTACTCTGATAGGTTTGAACGAAGGGCCTGAGAGTAAAATTACTGAAGGTACCCAAGTGATCTAGGCTCTTAATTTCATTTCCAAAAATGAATACTTGGATGCTATTTCATATGTTATCCTACATCTCCATGACTTAAGAATCTGGGGTGCTTTTTTTTCCAAAAGCTTAAGAGTGTTGTGTGCTTGAAACCATATTAGGCTAATCATTTAACTTCAGTGCTGGAAAATATATCATTGAATTTAATTTGGGAAGGGGACACTTTTATAAACTTCTAATCAGTGAAATGTAAGAGATAACAGTATCATAGAGTTTTGCTGGCACAGAGGTAATGGGCATCTATCGAAATCAACCATATTGCAGTTTTGTGTTGTGGATGTGGATATTTGGTGATTTCTTCTTTTTATCAATTAAAGAGTTACTAAAAGAAAAAAAAAAAAGCAGAAGGCTTGTTACTTTTTGCCATACATTTTTGTATGCTTTACTTGATATGTGCTGTTGCTTGATTTGTGCATTCCATTACTATAGCAGTGCAGAGCAGTTACTGCAGATGCCATCATCCTCTTAAGTACACATACTGTACATTAAGCCACATGTTTATTTTATGGCCTAAGCATTTTAGAGCTTTCCTAGCAATAACTAAAAAAACTAATGGAGTATAAATGAGAAAATTACCTTTTTCATTTGATAATTTAGGTTTAACAGGATTCTTTTATTACTTTAGCTAACACAAAATTGCAGATCAGGGCAGATGAGATCAGTTTGAGCCGTATCAGCAAGTGTTCGAAGTAGATTTACTGTGAGCTGTGTACTGCAGCTTTCTGAAAATACAGGTGGTTGTATGCAAACAAACTTGTCCAAAGAATCAAAATTGGGGCATCCTGACAGGGCCTCTGATTATTGGGTAGAATTGTTTCCCGGTGTGAGATGCTGTGCCATTACCCACTAATGGGCTAATGGGTTTTTAGCTCAGATTTCTGCCCTGGGATTCATTAGCGTTCGCCTTCTGACTGTCCCTGTGCATACCACAAAGATGCCTGACGAGCCTTTCGTTTGCACTTCAGGAATATTTTTTAATTGTTCTTTTGCAAATATTTGCGTTTCATAATAGCAATTTCAGGGTGATCCCTATTAATTCACAAGCAGCTGAGTGTGGGACTTAAATATTTCTCTTCATGCTTCGGAGTTTATTTAGCATAGATTAGAGGGCATTAATCTTCCCCAAGGCTAATGGGGCAGGAATGTATTGTTTTATTCATACTTGTAGACCAGTTTACACAACAGAGGGATGCAGTCTTACTCGGAGGGTTAGAGTATCTCCCACTGACCATCATTGACAATCCTGTTATTTCAGCCATGTTTTGTACAGTTCTTCCACAAAGAGGTGCCAGGCTTATTTTGTTGACTGTAAACAATCACACAGAGTATTTTGTCTGTACATAGCACACTGTTCACGCCTCTCAATAAATGCCATGCTTCTGGGGGTGATAATCTGCTGCAGGGTCGATTAGTGAAACCCAGGTTTCAGTCACACCAGGGCAATCCAGGGGGGTTTGATAATCCATTCCCCAGGAAGATGCCAAAGCCATGGATGAAGCCACAAAGATGGATCTGCCACACAGGGCAGGTATTTCCTTTCACAGCAGTTAACTTAATCCTTGTGATCTGTCAAAAGATGCTGTTCAGAACAACCCCTGATCACTTACGCTGGACATGGGACCCACCCCATGTTCACCGTCAGGTTGAACTGAGCTTCTGTCTGAAAACCAGAATCACCTGAGAGCCTGGAGTCAAATGAGACCCACTATCTTTCCCTGTTCAATATTCTGCTTGATCTTTAGTAAACTCATTGCGATTGAAGCTTGGGCTGGTGCCTGATGCGTGGCTGTAAACAGCGTGTGTTTAACATTGACCGTCCTGGTGTTCTTGATAAAGACAAATTGAATGTCCAGGTTCTGTTTGTGTGGTTGAATCTTTAAATGACATTTGGGGGGGTGAGCTGCAGGAGGGTGATTTAACCCCACTGCTCACAGTTTCCTTCCTCGCTGGTCAGAGGGAGAAAACCCTGTTTTCCCACAGTCAGCACCCGCAGCTGCTGTCCTGGAGCAGGGCAGTGACCCCACCAGACCCCAGGCTTGTGTAGTCACAGTGTGTCCAGGTATGAGGGATGGAGATGTGGTTCACCGCCACTGATAGTTCACAGGGGTAACAGCACAGTTGCTCTCTCCAGCCTTCGCCCTTCCCATGATATGGGTAGGGACTTAAAGGGATGGAGTGGCAGGGCAGCACCATTCCCCAGATCCCTGATCTTTGAGGTTCAGCCCTAGCCACAGGGAAAAGTGGGGAGTTTGCTGTTGGCTTCACATGTTTCAAGTGTGAAACATGACCATTGCTGTTGGCTATTGTTAGTGGAACCTGGTGCAGCCCAAGTAATATCCAGTGGAAGTCCTTGGCAATTGCAAGGGCCAAGAATGAATTTCAGCAGAAAATCACATATCCAAATCTCAATGCAGCAGCAAAACAAGCAAGATTATTTTTATAGAAGCTACTAAACATTTAAAACACTTAAAAATATTTTTAAAATCTACACCCATGACTAAACTTGTCCCTGTCTCTAGCATGCATGCAGAACCAATCCCCATCCATCCCCAGGGGAATGACAGCTATAGTACCTGTAAGGAGTTCATGCTTTATTAGTCAAGTGGAACATTAATAAAACCTGGCCCACTTCATAATTTCCAGAATAGTCATTAATTAAAAAAGCTGTTTATTGGAATAGAAAACAAGTATTTGATTAGCTTTGTTACAGAACAATAGCTCTCCTAATTTTTATTCTGCATATTTTATTCTTTCTTTAGAAAATTCTCTTAAGAAGCATTTGAGATAATTCGCTTTTTAAAACTGTACAGTTTCTATGGGTTTGCTTTTTAAATGAGAGTATACTTTGTAGATTTGATTATTATATTTTTCTGTTAAGATTACATTGGGCATTACAAAAGCATTCCCCACCACAGTGAAAAGAAAGCAATCCTGTTGGTTTATTGTAAAAGAAAAAAATTTAATTAAAACAAAATTGCAGAGCTGTGGCATACTCGATCCAATCAGAGCATGACTCTTTACTACTCTTCATTTACCACATGAGAAAAAAAATAAAGTTACACCAGCAAGATTTCATTTGAAGCTGTTCATGCATGCTGTTTGTACTGTATTTGATGGCATAATATTGTTTTGTTTACAACCTTTTCTTTCTTGTCATTCTATTATATTCTTTGTATGTATATAGTTTAAAAAAGAAAAAAAAGATTATACAAAGTATTTTGTTCTACCTCTGTAAAAATCATATTTGTGAATAAAGTCACATTGTCTGTGGATTATGGTATTGAGAATACAGCATTAACAGCTGGTGCTTTGCTTTTATTTGGGGGGTGGGAGCGGAGCCGATGTCTCTTGCTGGATAGGTGGATTTTGTCCACCCAAGGTGGGAATGTGGGGCCAGCAGAGAGGGGCACAGATGCCCTGCTGAGCACTTAAGAGATTCACATTTAGTCTGCTCTGAGAAAAGATTTCAGCCACCTCTGGCTCAGGTGCGTGGCCTGTAATGCTGCACCTTCCAGAGTTTTGATCGAGGCAGACTCCTGTGTTCAGACCAGAAGGAGAAGCAGGCAAAAGAATGATCAGTGACAGTGACCCTGCTTGTACAACCAGCAAGTGAAAAAAAACTGGCCTGCAGTGTGTGTGATAGACTGTACAAGTTAAAAAATGGATTAACTGGTACTCACTTTCAGGAAAATTAAAGGCAGGAAAATGTTTTGGGGCAGGGAAGGCTGGTGGATCAGAGCATCACAAAATGGCCAAGGATTTGTGGTTTTAAAATAGTAGCAGGATTCATAGAAGGATTTGAACAGGTAATAGAAAATACTCACTGTTATATTAAATAAGGTTAAGAGGAATAAAGTCTAAAGTTCCTGGACAAGCACAGCATAAAATAAACAGTCTTTTCCCTGGGGGATTGGAAATCATTTTCCCCTAAGCAGTGGCCATTATATAAAGGTTTGTACCTTCCCATGAAATACCTATTGTTTGCTGTCATTAGAGCAGTGTTTGGGATTACACAGCCCTGGTATGGCAGTTTTCTCATGGTCTTGTATTATGTGTTAAAATTTCACTTGTGTTTTGAAGAAGACTTAAACTATTTTGCCGCTTGTTTGGAAATAACTAGAAAAACATAAACAGAAAGGTAAAACCATCCTGGTCCAGCTCACTTCCTTCCCATCGGAAGAATCACATTTTACATTCTTTAACCTTGTTTATGTAGTTGCATGTTTTAATATCTATGCCTTTCTCAGTGTAAGAAGGTGACTTTCATCTTGGAAGCAAAATATATGCACCATTATAGCTATTTTCCTGTTGGTGTAATTTAGGAGGTCTTTCATCTCCAAGATAGCTTTCTGAAACCTCTGGTAACATCAGATGAAGGAGAAAAAGAGAAATGCATTTAACTGTATAACTACTGGAGCATTGTGAATCTTCAAGACAAACACAAAAGCCATCAGCTGTGCGTAAATTGACTCATGCAGCCAGTGCTTGCTTTGTTTTCATGCTGCCCAGGTACACACAGCTCCCCGGTGTTCCAGCTGTAGGGCAGTGTCTCAGCTCTGCCAAGGGACACCAGTTGGTCACTCTTGTTACTCTTGGGTTTGCATTTATGGTTCTAGCTCATTATCAGTATGGCACACTGAGTGTTTCTGGCTTCTTCTGGGGCCCAGGAAAGACCTGGGTTTGACTGTCAGCCTGGAGCACCCTCAGCAGACTTGAATGATCCTGCTGCACAGCCCGTGAGGTGATAACACTTCTCCCTCCTCTGAGCCTAAGCAGCTCATGCTTTGGGGGAAGCAGGAGGACACAGCACTCAGTAAACAGGGTCAGAAGAGAAGAACTGCCCATCTGCTGTGCTGCTTGGTGCCAGCCCAAAAGGGAGAGTCTCACCTATGCTCCCAGGTGAACTGCAGCCCCACGCACAATATAAAAGCCAGGAACTTTTCCAGTTGCCCAGAATTCCTCAGGACTGTATTTTTAGAACTTATTGTAAAACTTAAGAGTTGATGGGGCTGGTATTTCTGTTTGGAATGCTGAGCAAAGACTACACACCCACAGGGAGGAGTAACTGGCAGGCTGGGTTTAGTCTTGGTTTATGCATAGGACCTTTCAAGAGTTGTGTGCTTGAAACAGCTGAGTCCTTGGGGAAATTCTTACTGCAGTGAAGTTAAGTGGAAAATTAATTTCTCCCCTTGAGAATGCAGCAGTTACCCCTGCTCATGCAGGTAAATCAGCAATACAGGTAAAAGACTCTGCTGATGACCAACCTGGGAGATTCAGACTTAAGTACGGTTTGGGCTTTATGGCTGATGTATCGCCCTGCACCAGACTTTTCTTGCAGGAGCTTTGGCCACAGTTCTCAAAGATGTAGGAGTGTGTTAGTCCATCTTTTCCACCATATATTACAGGTGGGTTTCATCTTAACCACCCTCTGAGCAGCTTTTACATGGACTTCTACAAATGAACATCATAAACTTCCTTTGTAGTCAGTGAAGGAAAATAAGCATTTTTAGGATGTGAATTATCTAGTTTGGCTGTCCGCTTCAACATAAGGTGATTCATCCTATTCACCCCAGACCCTGAAACAGGGAGCACCAAAATTTAACCATGTGCTAGGCAGAAAAGCATTTCCTTTTTGTATTGTAAACCTATTCCCTCATAACTGCATTGGATCACTTCAGAGAAAAAGGGCAGTGATTTCTGATTTTATAGACCTTGAATTTGTAGACATCCTTATCCTATTCCTCTTTAGTTTCTCCTGTTCCACACTAAAGACTCATTTCTCCCCTTACAGAAGCTGTCCTGTGCCTTTGATTCCCTTTTGCTACCCATTACCTTAACTTGCCCAATTCTGTTTCTATGTTCCGAGGTACACAGGGCCCAGGCTGTGGTCCACTGTCACACAGAGATGTGTTTATATTTTATTCCTTTTCTTTGGAATGTCTAACATTTTGCTGCCCTTCTCCACTGATGAACACTGAAGAGGTGCTCACAGACCACCTTCATTCACAGCAACACCAAATCCCTTTCTTCAGGCCATCGTTATGTCCTTATTGTTAGGGATGTGTATTTCATGTTTTACATTAGTTTGTGTTTATCACCAGTGATCTCATCTGTAGTCCTGTATTATCACAAGGTCTCTCCATGACACTTCACAGCTACTTTTGTTTTTAAAACCCTGGATAAAATGTGTCATTCACATTCAGCCACCTCACTATCACCTCCTTTTTTTTAACATGGTTGATATTGGGGAATCACCGCAAAACCAGTCCCTTTCTTCACATCCCTTTCTTATGTTTTAATCACTCATTAACCCACAAAAAACCTTAATACACTGGCAGCTCAGTTTCTGTAGGAATCTTTCATGAGACAATGGTTTCAGGAAAAACAAATACACAGTATCACCTACATCAGCACACTCACTGGTTCCTTCAAAAGGCTTTTGAGGCACGATTTCCCCCTGCAAAAGCTGTGTTGCTTCCCTCCCCTTTACACCATCAGTTATGTAGGATCTAGACACAAGGGGGTGGATGCAGCTTATAGAGTAAGACACTTACTAAAATAGCTTTGGTATCCTTTTGCAGTCAGTGGAGAACTACTGAAAAGGCTTTCAAATGGAGCTCTGGAGCTCATCTAGTGCAACCTCCCAGTCCATGCAGCACTTGGAGCACATGGCTCAGGTCATTTCCAGAAAAGTTTTGAGTATCTCCAGAAATGCAGACTCCTCTGGGTACTCTTTGTGAAAAATATCTTTTGAAGACCTAGTTGAAATTTCCCCTGATGCAGATTGGTTGACAATCAGCTCCCCAAAAGGAGATGCCCACACTTGGACAGGCAAATCCCTCTCTAGGCTCCACTACCAAGGTCATCTTTTCCTTTAGAGGACACTCAGGCACGTGGCACACATGAAAGCATTTATATTTGAGTGTCTTAATCCATGAGTTGATTCCCACCTTCTGGGCAGGATTCAGTGCTTGTTGGTAAGTGTTGGAAGTCACGGCATGTGCTCTGGGTACCCTGCCTGGCCTCTGGTATTCATGCTGAATGGCTGAGAGTCTGAGGGCTTGTGGTTTTTTGCCAGCCCTGTGCTGGTGGTTTAAATCCCTTGAAGTGCCTCAGTTGATGTCAGATGCCCACATTCAGGGATCTGAATCCCAAATCACGTGTCTACGAGTTGCATTCTGTAGCTTCTACCAAAATTCAAGGTATAGGAGGGAATTTCACAGAACAGTACCTTCCCAGATAACCCACCACTCCTAAAGGGGCAGCAGCTTCTGAAAACCCTGCCATCAGTGCTGGATTCAAGGCAGGGCTGTGAGTTCAGCAGCAGACAGCACTGACTGAGTGTAAGCCAAGCCTGGTCATGAGGTGCTGCAATGACCACAGCAGGACACAACTGGAGAGCAGCCCCTATGCTGGGTAGCACTTAATGGCTTTGTGCACCTCACAGCTGGTGAACGCACTGTGTGGGAACATAAGCACTGCTGCTTTCCAGCATGAGAGGGGAAAAAAGGGGAAACTGGCCAAAAAATTGAGTTCATGTAAAAAAAAAAAACACCTAGTGAACAGCAGTGTTCTAGCAGCATTTGTTTCTAAACATGGCATCCATTTCCTTCACACAGGAAGACTGCTTCATTTTCCAGCAGGTTTCATTTGTGTTGTCCAAATTAGAAGTGTTTCATCCAGCATGTGGATATTACGATAGAGACTGAGCATGATCAAGACCCGTTCTTGTGGTGTTACTCATGTTACACCTAATCTGTTGGGCAGAAGCCAAAGAGGACCCACAGCTTTGTGATCCTGATAAAAGCATTGCCAAGGTTGAAAGGAAGCCAGTGCTTTTGTAAGTTGCTGAAGGGGAAAAAAAAAAAAAAAACCTACCACTTTTTCCAGAATTACCTTGTGATTATTTATACATTTCTTTCCATGAGCAGGAATACATATTGCTTTTTGAAAAGGGAGATTGATTTAACATCTGGTGTGTCTAGCCGTGCATGGTTGAAGGAACTGGATAAGCAACCTGACTCAGTGAGGTGTTCCTTACAGAAGGTCTTTAGCATTGACTTTCTTATCTGTTCTACTGTTCATTCTAAGCAGGGCCTGCATTTTTATTTTATTTTATTTTATTTAAATAAGGTAATATAGAAGCTGAAGTAACAAGCTGGGAACTATTAGGATTAATCTAAAATTAATTGCACTTCTTCTCATCACATCCATTTCCATTGCAAAGACCCTCAAGACAGGAAACCAAGCCAAACTGTGTTCCTAAGCAGTTAGGTAGGATTTGGAGTTCCTTA